CGCAGTCTTACAGAGAATGTATATTTGAGTGTGTGTGTGTAAAATATCAAAATCACCTGAGCTATACTTACTGGCATTTCATAGATGATTTTCTTTGTGTATGTACTTTCTTTATTTATTTTCGTGATTCTTTTTAACTTAATACAATGTAGTAAAACACAGTACAGCAGAACAGAACATATTTTCATAGATTTTATCAACGAAACATTCTTTATGAGTAGATAATATATCAAACAATCTAACATGTAAAACAGAAAGGACAGGTACAAGCTATCAAACACACCCACACAATAGAAGGAGATTGCTTTGTTCTTGCATCAGACTATGCAACTAAAACTTTTGGTTTCTCTTTCTAAATCCAGTAGACTGTGCCCTAAAGCATTATATTAGGAACAATTTGAAATACTTAAACAGTTATAATGAAACTAAATATGTATTTAGTTCCTTATGACTTATCTGAATTTAGGTCGTTGGTGGTTCCAAAGTTGCAAAATATACTCCAAATGCTAAAATAAAATAGCTGATGATAATATATTCGATAGTATTTCTTATAAGATAAAAAGATAAAAGCTACATAGGCAATATTATTGAATACTTGTGAGACTTTATGACTCTGTTGAAAACCAGGTAACCTTTTTGGATAACGCTAAAAAAATGATTGTATGAGTAGAATAAGAATGAAAATTTAGTGAAATTGAAGAATCCAGAAGACCTTAGTAATTAACTCTTTATTAAAGGTAGAGAAATAACTGTGAACTAATTTCACATTCAAATCAACCTCAACAACACTTAAATGCTTGGCCAGCATAAACATCAGTTGTTGAACGGCTGATAATGAGTTTTATTCCAAAAACAAATGTTGTCGTCTTCTGTTTCATCCTAGAACGGGTCCTGGGGGCAGAAATCTCAGTAGAGACTCCCAGACTTTCCTTTCCCCAGATACCTCTTCCACCTTTGCTGGAGGAAGTCCAAGGCACTACCAGGCAAGACGAGAGGCACCATCCCTCCAATGTCTCCTGGGCCTCCTCCCGGTTAAATGTGCATGGAACACCTCCTGAAAGAGGCGGCCAGGGGGCATCCTGAGCTACCTCAGCTGACTCCTGTCGATGTGAAGAAGCGGCTCTACTTTGAGACTCACCCGGTGTGGAAGGGAGTGCTCAACCCCATAAAATCATGATCCAGATTTTATGACCTTAGGTGAGGCTAAGAATATAGACAGAACGATATATTGAGAGCTTTGCCTTTTCTCTCAGCTCTCTCTTCACCACAACAGCATCTGTATTGTAGCAGCAACCGTCTATCAATCCCCCAGCTCCATTTTCCCCTCACTTGTAAACAGGATCCCAAGATACTTGAACTTCTTCCCTTTAGCAGGAACTCTCCTTCAATCAGAGGGAGACAAGCCATCTGTTTTCAGAGAAGAATCTGATTCTCATCCAAGGTGCTTCACACTCTGCTGCCAACCACCCCAGTTCTTGCTGTAGGTTTTAAGAAAGTAGTAGCTGAACCACATCATCTGCAACAGGAAGGGGCAATATCCGTTGGTCCCCAAACCAGACTTGGCTGGAAGGGGTCTGGTTTAAGTCTGAAAAACAGTGCATTAAAAATCCTGCCTTAAAGCTGAAGTCTGTAAGTTTTTAAAAATCACTTTTTTGTCATATTGGCTAAAACTGTCCCTATGCCCAGACAGCAGTACATGTGATATGTAACCTGTGAAAAAAAACGCTTCAATTGGTCCCACATACTGCCTTTATTGCAATCTGGAAAGAATATTTCGGGACGAGACAAAACAAACAATCACAGCCAGAGGAGCGTCTGATGGAGTGTCAATCACAGCTCACACACGCTGAATCCCGCCCCCTCCCTCTCACCGCTGAACCTGCTGCTGCCGCCCGGCTGCTGCAGTCAGGAGGACGCGCGTGGAAGTCATGGCGGAGCGACAGCCACCAGCGAAAGAGAAACTGCCCTTACTGCCCCTGCCGACAACTGCTTACACGGCAAAGACTTCAAAAAAGAAGATGTCAATGGAAGAGCTGCCGCGTACGCTGCTTGGACGCTTCTGGTCGCATGCGGTAGCTGCGCAGATGCTGTGAGAGGGGTGGAGCTTGGAGGTGGGGCATGAGTGAAGCAGAGAGGGTGGGGGAGTGGCGTGAAACCTGTTTTTCTTCAAATTATTAGTCGAAGTCTGCTCTCTTCTCAATGTAACAGACTGCAGCTTTAAAATGTTTCTGTGTCTTCCTCAGTATAACCACTACAGGATGGACAAACTGGTAGATAAGATAAATCAAAGAAATATAGCAGTCTGGCAGAAAGAGGCCCTCTGTAACTAGTTTCATGTTATTCATAATAATTTCATGACTGAAATGCAGCTTAGTTTTTCTAAAGGTTCTATGTGTCTAAGAGTTTCTGTTTTTTATGGCTGAAATATACTTTCAATTGGTAACATATTTGGGAAAATGTCACTTAAAAAAAATAAACAGAATTTTTTAATTTTAAGTGATTTCCCAGTTAGTGTAAACAATAATAAAAGCATGAAAGGACATTGTTTCATGCGCATCTCAGTCCCACAGAAAGCCTTTTGGGGGAGCCAAAGTGAAGAAAGCAGATGCAAGGAGCTAGTGCTCTTTGGATGATCCAGAGATTGTGCAAGCTTATGCTCCAAATGTGGACGTTACACATCAAGCTGTATGTTTCAAAGGAGATCTTAGCAGTGCCATTCTGGGAAGGACATGTGCTCTCAATTTGTGCTTGACCAACTTCCATGCTTTTTATTCATACTGTTCTATTCAAAAATTATAAAGATTGCAGCAATGCATATGTGAAAGTATATTTCCTCAAATATGTACTTTAGGTATCACTAGGGGAAACTATATTTACTTCATGAAATTCATAGTTGTCATTCATAGAAGATAACCAAATGTCCAAGGTCCTTGATGTATTTTTCTTTAAATAACAGATTTTGCAAGTGAACATTGATAACACGGTTCAATGCATTCCATAAACAGACAAAACAAAAAAAGTGCTCGTACAAAATGGACAAATTGGAGCATTTGTAAAAAAAAACAAAAAAAAAAAACCAAAAGACAAAAAAGTAAAATACCTGTTTAGTTTTTCTGTTTAAATGATGGACATTAAAATAGAACACATGATTGTCTAAAACTGTTTCCATTTATAGTTCAAAGAGCAGTTTGGCATAGATTTAGTAACATCCATCCATTTTCCATCACGCTCTATCCCTGCTATTGGTCGCACGGGATGCTGGTGGCCATCTCAAGCCATCTACAGACGATAGGCGGGGTACACCCTGAACAGGTCGCCAGTCTATCGCAGGGCAGATTTAGTAACAACCTTTTCTAAATATTATGCATCTCTAGATATCTATATAGATATATCTCATTGATTTTATTTATGTTTTAATCTTTGAGTTGAGTGTTTTTAGGAAGAGATAATACAAGTTTTATCTTCCCTCTGTTCATTTTTGTTCATGTATGAAAAAAAGATGTGCAATGACATACGAACAAATAACTATATTTATTTATGTAATGTCATTGCACAATTTTTCTTTTATATATGTGGGCTGCACAGTAGGTTGTGCTGCTGCCTTGCAGCAAGAAGGTTCCAGGTTAGGTTCCCGGCCCGGGGTCTTTCAGCTTGGAGTTTGCATGTTCTCCCTGAGTGTGCGTGGGCTCTCTCCAGGTACTCCGGCTCCCTCCCACAGTACAAAAACATGACTGTTAGGTTAACTGGCTTCTCTAAATTCTCCTTAGGTGTGAGTGTGTGTGAATGGTTGTTTGTCCTGTTTGTCTCTGTGTTGCGACCTATCCAGGGTGTACGCCACCTCTCGCCTATTGACAGCTGGAGATGGGCACCAGCACCCCTCACGACCCCAACAGGGAAAAGGGTGACAGAAAATGGATGGATAAATATATCTATATAGATACCTATAGATGTCGCCTATGAGGCACTTTCACATAATAACCATCTTGTCACTCACTGCTATGAATAAAGTAAAGCACCAATAATGTGTAAAGTATATTAGTTTATTTACAGATTGCATTTGGTTTACAAAATTTAACTGCAATAAAATAAGTAACAAAAACAAACTCCAAATATATACATAGACTCTTCCCCCTAATAAGGGATGATTGACAGTTGCTCTGATGGTTAGAAACATAATTTCCACAGCTGTTTAATGGAGAACAGTTTGACCTGGGTTATTTTATTTGCAAAGGGATCTCAGAATAAAATTTCAAATACCATTCTTTATTTTGGTCACTGTTACCTTAATGACTCCAGTAAGCACAGATTTGGATTTCTAGTTACTATGAAACACTACATAATAACACAGATGGCGTTAGAGAAATCACTGTTCCAGTAAACTGCAAGACTAACTGATGTCTATTAGTATAAACCACATAAGCAAGATGGTAAAACACTAAGAAAAACAAATTGTGACTTTTCCCTTACTGAAAATAAGCCATAAAGACCCCTTCCCCAGATTTGATCACTGTTGAGAGAAGGAATAAAACTGGGCTTTTATCAAAGGTTTTCTTAAATAAACATAACAGAATATCTTCTTTAGCTTCTCTGCTGTGGTTTTAACATAGAGGGATATACAGGAACAAAAACATGTTCTAAAAAGATCTAAACATGAACTATATCAGCTGCATAGCAGTTTCTTAGAAATTCTTTGTACATTTTTATTAGTTTCAATAAATGCAATGGATTCATCTATGTCTTATTTGATTATAAGCAGGATGCATGTGAGAAATACCCAACGCAGAATAAAAGACAAACTGCTAAAGCTGCAACTATCAAACGCTTAAAGCACACTTTAGGTGGTATGGCTTCAAATTCTAGTTGAGGATTTAGTCAGAAACTCTAAAGGCACAGATACAGTTCTCTCTTCTCAGGCAGTGTGAGCAATATCTGCAGTTTTTTTTTAAGAATATTGAATAGGAAAATGTAATCTTAGACAAGCTCTGTTGATATTAAAATAAAAAAAAAAAAACTTCAAATGCAATAGCTAAAAATATGAGAACTTTCATGAAAAAAAAAATCATCTCCTTTTCTATATCTCAGCAAAGATAGTAATAAAACATACGTACGCAGACAAGAGAAGTAATTACCTCTTTAGTACGTTCAGCTAAAACATTCTGGATATAAGGAAGATTTTTCTTTATAAATCAATGATTCACAAAATGAGCAGTACATTCATAATGAATACTGAGTCTGACAGCATGGTGTCATATCGTCCTGCTAAAAACTATTTGGTCGGAAAAAATCTTTTGCATATGTGTAATATGTACATAGAGGTGGTATATACAGGATTACTATGCACAGAAATTTGTATGTTCATCATTCATAGTATATAAAACATTCCACTCTCCTTAAAAAGGCACCACCAGCAGCAGCACAAGATGGTTCACCCTCATTCTCTTCCAATCTGAGGTTTTCCAAAGTTTAGTAACAGCTGCAAACACAACATGAACACACTCAGGCACTTTGGAGAATTTGGAAATTACAGTCGCCATAATTATCCTCATCAGTGGAAAACAAAGTTAAAAGATTAATTTCTGCTTAATAAAAACAAAAAAATTTGAACTGGAGACTAATATAGATCACAAGCAAGTCAGTAAACTCTGGTATAACTGACCCTGTAAAAACATTCTAAGCTCCGATCCAGGTTTGATTAAAATATTACCAAGTGCAGAAACGCAACATTCACTTTAGTCACAGTAGAACAAGGTGGCCTCCTCACGAGTGGCAGACTGGTCCCAGTTTTGGGGTCTCCCAGCAAGAAAAGGAGTTAGCAGGTAAATGGGTGAGGCGGGGGTGGGGGGGCAATAATCACATTCCTCAATAATTAAGAGGGAATACAACCATGACTGCAGGACACAACTCTAAGAACCACCAGTGCACAAATAAGTTAGATATATTTCTCTGCTAAAATGCACCTAATATAGAAATTAAAAAAAGGAAACATACATTTATAATCATCTTTCTACAAACAAAAGCAAAGAAAATCATAAATATTCAACATTTGAAATATAAGTTCAGCTATTTCACAAGTTGAAGCAAGCCAGATAGCTATTCTCTCCCAAGTCACGCTTCCTTCAGGAGTAGGGTCCCTTTAAAACACCACAAAAGAACAAACAAAACAATACTTTAACCGTCCTAGCTCCACAAATCACATTAGTCAAGTTTACATGAACTCCGTCCGAACACCAAAGCTGTTTGAGATTTTAAAGTGAATCTTAAATGTAACGGTCCTAATGTATGAGATCCAACATGTACAAAAAAAACAAAAAACAACAAACAAAAAAGCAGCTCAATATAGCTACCATTATAAAAGATTTTTGTTTGTGTATGCACCTAATAAAAAACTACAGACAATCAAGCTGTTTGTCTTGATGATTGAAAAAACCCCAAAATAAAACGGTGAAGTGAAGCAACTGGACAAAACGCATTTTGGTATGTCGAGAAGCAAATCTTAAAAGTGAAAATTACCTAAAACAGAAAAGGAAAAACAAAATAAAAATGAGCCATAAAACTGGCGTTTTATTAGGATGTGCACATTGAGTCAAACTTTGGTGTTAAGGTCACTGATCAACATGCACAATTTCAGCATTTTAATGCAATAAGGTGTCAGATGTAGAACTATAGACACCGTATCTCTCCACCTAAACATTTAGTTAATTAAACGTATTTACAAAACTAGAGAAAATGGCTCATTTCTAGCTGGTTTACGAATACTACTCCAGTTCTTGTGCGCCGACCGAACAGAGACATTGAAAATAAGCAATGATCTAACCATCAAACTGAAATAGTGATGCACTAAGTAAATAATGCTCCATCTGTATATGGGTGAAGATACATATAGAACTAACCAATAAAAATAAACGTTCTAAGAGAAAAAGAATGCACATTTGTTCCTTTTCTTATGTGGTTTAAAAAAATAAACTAGGTATCTGGTAATGAACAGCTACAACATGGCTGCTTATATGACGCATGAGTAAAAAAAAAAAAAAAGAAACTAAATAAGTATAAATTTATTTAAACTGCGGAATTAAAACCAAATGAAATTCAAGGTGCTTTTCTCATTTGTTTTTCCACAAAAACCTGGCCTTGCTTTTTAATCTTGGGATAAAGACGGCAAACGTTTTAGTTGTGAATGCCCTTTTTTTTTTTTTTTAAGTAGGCTGTAATCCATAACCACATTTATCATTTTAACAGACTGCAGTGATAGTATATCTGAATCATGTTTTGCAACTTGCTATAGATAATGTAAAAAAATAAATAAAATGTTTCATATTCAATAACATGTCACTTAGTTTAGTCATTTTCACTGCAGTGTAAAATGTTGAGCATGAACCTAGAAAAATGAAAGGCTTGCTTAAAAAGTAAAATGGACTACATCGTTCTTGTAAATACATCAGTATATATATCTATATTTATATAGCACTTAAAAAGCTTATTTAACATATAATAAATAAAATCAAAATCTCCTTTTGTGGTATTTCAGAGATTTAGACTGAATTTATTGCCATCAACAGACTTAAGGCAACGGCTTTACACTGCAAACATTAAGCAAGTTACATTAAACCTCTATTGTTGCTTTCTACCGTTCTTCTTCAACTTCATATTTATTTGCTTTCTTTTTCCATCTCGGACCTTTTATGATGATCTGCACCATTTACATCAGTAGCTACCTTCCAGTTTAACCAAACATACCCCGCAACGTCTTTCCCTATCTGCTGTACAAAACATTCCATCTTTAATGCAATATAATGAAATAAAGTAGAAAAAAAACTAAGGAGAATATATTACAAAAACTGCCAACTCTTTGGGAAATATTTTACAAAAAAAAAAAAAAAAAAGGCTATGCTATAGATAGCATCACATTGCAGCTATTTACAGTAAAAAAAAAAAAAAAAAAAGTTCAGGTGAAAGAACGTTTGAATTCTACTTGTCTGATCAGACTCATCAGGTGTTAGTCACTATTTTCACGCGTTTTAGTAAAAGGAAGTCTCAGAAAAGATGCTTTCTTGGTCGTAGTCAGCCCATGCCTAAATCTAGGCTTAAGTATATAAAGAAATGATCCAGTTTGATTTAAAAGTCCCTCTTATTTAGACTAGTCGTTAATATTTCTGGCTGAAGAGACTGGTTGAATAAAGGTCGGCACTTGTGTGAATCTAGCCTCGGTGCTGCAGGAGCAGAACCAGATGTAATAATCACTAACATTTGGATCTTTCTGCATATTTAACAGGTTTTTTCCCCCCAGATTTGCAGATTTTCTTTGAAAAAAGAAAAAAAAAAGAGAAAAAAAATCTACCAACATTAATAACACTTAGAATGAGCGCTGGAGAGGGCCGCCTGGTTCATGCAGGCTTACAAGCAGATCATTGATCTTTTCCATGTTCTGAGAGACCTCCATGCTGCCCTGTGCAGCGGTCCCAGACTGGGATATAGACTGGCTGAGCAGGGACTGGATGCGGGCCTCGCTTTCTTGCTGGTTCTGACCAGACTGGCTGATTGCTATGATCTGATCTGAAACCGTGTTTCCGGGATTGTTCATCAGCTGGCCACATTCTGCAAGAAGGGGAAAGAAAAAAAAAAAAACTGACATGAAAAATGTCCTAGAAAAAAATGACCTAATATTTCTTCTTTCACAAGAAAAAAAAATCTGTTTAAAAGAATATAAAGTTGTATAACCATTGAGAAAATAAAATATCTTTACACTATCCATCTTCTAATTAGCTTTCCTCTCTCTGCTGAAGAAAAGCATCTCCAAAAACCACCTCTATGTACATATTACACTTGTGGCAAACTCGAAACAAGACTTATTATAGTTTTTATATTCATGCTTTGAAAGGTTAAACTTAACACACAACTGTGGCCAGATACTTTCCCTCCAAGTAAAGCTTCCTGAGGCTTATTGTTCTTTTACCTCATTAGTTTCAACAGACGTTATTACCACCCTCACCGTTTTGCATTCCGAAGATGAAGAGGCCAGGCTGTTGAGGCTGGCTGGGCTGACTGATGCTCCCATTCACGGTGTGTTGAAACAGACTGCCTGGCTGCTGGCCAGGAGAGGAGGTGGTGGTCGGAAGGTTTGCCACACCATTCTGGGAGGCAAACATGGATGGCTGTGAGAGCTCTTGCACAGCCATCCCCCCCTGTATGGGAGGCATGTTGGATGGAGGGATGAAGAGACCCACTGGCTGCTCCTGTTGGTTGTTGGGGCTGTTGCCTATCTGCATTGGCTGCTGCTCCTGAAACATGACTTGCTGTGGTGAAGTGGTGGGATTCCCTAAAGCCATGGGCTCAGGCTGGCTCTGCTGATTTACAGTCACCATACTGGCCTGGGAAAACAGCAAAGAGGGGGTTTGGGAGTCCTGTGGAACCAGACTGCTGGTAGTAAGGGGAGGCATTTGGCCTTGACTGGTAAAGATGAGGTTGGAGGATTGGGGTTGTGGGGACAGGTTGTTGTTGCAGAACATTAAGCCAGGCTGCTGTTGCTGCGGCTGCCCAGGAGAAAGCGTGTTTGGAGATGAATGAGGAGAAATGTTCTGAAACATGGCCGTCTGTGGGGAAGGCTGTGGAAGTGGCGGAGGCTGAGGTGACTGCTGCTGCTCCATGGGGCTTCTCTGCTGCATGGGGGGCATTTGGGCCTGGTTCTGAAATACTGGTTGCTGTTCAGGGGATGAGGATTGTAGAGCATTGAGGAAGGCCAGCTGCTGCTCCTGCTGCTGCTGCTGTTGTTGTGAACTTCCAGTTGTAAGCCCGGTGGGCAGCGGTGTTTGGGGAAGGAAAAGTGTGGGAGATTGTTGTTGCTCTTGAGACTGCAGCACTGTCATGGTGTTCTGGAAAAGAGCAGCCTGGACTTGCTCCTGGGACGGTTTCTGAAAAATAGATCCCTGTGGATCTTGTGTTTCAGCCAAAGGACTGGGATTGTGGAACATGGTTGGTGAGGCATGGGTGGGGGTCTGCTGGAGGAAGCCGGTTTGCATAGAACAGATGTCATTTGCCTGCTGAAACAGGGCAGCCTGTTGCTGCTGCTGATTTTGCTGCTGTTGCTCTGGTGGGTAAAGTGATGCCTGGTTTGTCACCACTCCCTGTGGGGAACCTTGCAGGTCTGAGCTCTTGGCCTGCGCAGCATCCTGAAACATGCCACACTGCATCTGCATCTGAGACTGGAAGAGTTGTAAATTCTCCAAAACCTGCTGCTGCTGCTGTTGTTGCTGCTGCTGCTGAATCTGTTGGTTTTGCATCTGCTGTTGGTGTTGGATGTGTTGTTGCTGCTGCTGCTGCTGAATTTGCTGCTGTTGAATTTGCTGTTGTTGAATTTGCTGCTGTTGAATTTGCTGCTGTTGAATTTGCTGCTGTTGAATTTGCTGCTGTTGAATTTGCTGGTTTTGAATCTGTTGCTGGATTTGTTGCTGTTGCTGGATTTGTTGCTGTTGCTGGATTTGTTGCTGTTGCTGGATTTGTTGCTGTTCGGCGATAGGGTTTTCTGCCTGGATGGGTAAGTTACAATATCCTTTCGCTTTAAGTTGTCTCACGGCCTCCTCCAGCTGTGCAACCTCATCTGGGGGAAAGAGCGGCAGCTGTGGCTGCTGGGGGGCAGGTTCAACACAGAGCCTGGATACTCCTCCAGAAGTGCTGCCTGACCTCTCCCGCATGAGACCGTCTCTGGGCTCCAAGAGGAACTGCTGGGTGCCTTGTGAGAGCAAAGACTCTGCAGGCAAAGGGAATGAGTTGCTAGTGGCAATATCCTGTTTCTGGATGGTGCTTAAAGGTTCAACATTGGTAAAAGCAGCAGCCTTGGTTTTATCTTGATCACCTGCAGATTGAGGCAGGTTATTGTTGAAGACTATGTTGTTATTTAGACGTGATGTTTCTACATCTTGATTGGGTGGGGATGCACTAAGATCTCCATTCTGCTGCAGGAGAAAAACAAACAAAAAAAACAACAACCAAAACCTTAATTTGGGATTTTAATTTATGCGTCTTAAACTCAGCATCTAAGTTATCAAACAGCATCTACAAACATAACCAGATTCATGCAGTAAAGTATAAAGCTAACCAAACCACTTTTTAACAGAGAACATGTTAAATTCATGTAAAAAAAAAAGCAGCATAAAGCTCAGTAATTCACCTTAAATACTCCAGAGGCCTGTAGGTTGTTTGTCACTTCCATCGGGGTGATATCTTCTCTCTTTACTAAAGACAGCAACGAAGGCATTAAGGCACTATCTACAGCTGTAGGAGTAACAGGATGGGGATCAAGTTTTACATTTAAAACTTATTTATAACCAAGATATAAGCCATAAATACTGAACTAATTAGTATTTTTTTAATGATCCCTGACAAACATAAAGCAATGATGGGAAGTATAGAATTACCAACCTTTGATTTGCTCATCATAAGAACAGGTCTTAACTGGAGAGGGCATCTCCTTCTTTACAGGAATTTCATTTTGTACTGCAAGATTGTCTGAAAAAAGGAGAATATAGAATGACTATAGCTTAAAACACTACAATTCACAGATTGTTTGAGATATTTATATGTTTAACCCAAAAAAGCATAAAACTAACAGCAGCAGATGAATATCAGTACTATGTGGATAATTCCCTGTCAGAAAGGGGAGGAGCAATGTGTCTATTAAAATTATTACAAACACTAGCCTGTAGGTGGCGGTGTTGACTGATTTTGGTTTTATTAATCAGAAATGGGAAAACATGCCAATAGAGTCACTAAACAAAACATATATTTATAGTACAAAGCAAATAAAGTTATCAGTAGCAATCATTTAATATAGTCGAAGAATTTGATGAAAAATAAGATACCTTACCCAGATTAAAAAAACAGCAAAACTCATATGGAGTTTAAAGTTTAAAAATATTGCACAAAAAAACATTATTACTATAAAATGACAGGTATATTTGGGTAAGAATGAGTTTTACAGTTTAATGGCCACAGGTCTTAGGCATTACCCCTTTTATTAAGGATCCCTCTCTGAACATAAGCATAAAAAACATTGGCTTCTTTTATTTTAAGCATGTCAATTTAAATTTCTGGGGGGTAAATTAACTACAAGAAAAATGAGAGTTAATGGCCACTTCAGTCTGGTGTCTAGGTAAACCTTTTTCTGACAGAAATGCACTCAAACAAACCAGCATCTGGAGTGTAGGTGAATGGCTGAACATCATGGGACCTGCCAGCGTTTGTCACCACATAGATTCCAACACAGACAGGAGAGGTGATGGCCTGGTTGTGGTACGGGGGTACCTTCACGATCAGGTGATTCTTGGGGTTAAAGAAAGAAATGTAAAAATGAAAATGAGTCAACTTTGTCACAGAAATAAAATCTATGCAAACCTGGACAAATCAATGTAAAAAGAGATTGAGGCCAGATCAGTCAGTGCATGAGAAAAAAAATGTACTTGCTTAATTCTGTGTCTGCAGTCTTTTTTTTTTTTTTTTTTACAAATGCTTTAAACTTTGTTTGCTGACTCTGTATTCTGTCTTATTGGCACTTCAAAGTCACAGCTCTGGTGTTGAAATTTTGTGATAAAACTACAAACTATCACTACTAAAAATGCAAAAAAAAAAAAAAAAATTTGTTCAAATAAAAAACAAGGAAAAAAACTTAAAACAAAACATATGCATATTGATGCAATAAAGGCTGAGTGCTATAAATTAGTCAGCTAATGTATTCCTGTTGATTTTTTTTTTTACAAGGGCAAAGGTTTAATCCTGGTTGTTAAGACACTCAGCAGAACGTCTAAGACTGAAAGTAATTAGGTCAGAACACAATGAAACTACTCACCTTTGAACCACAAACCCTTTAAGATGATTATATCTAAAAGCCCCGTACAGCACTGAGTTGAAGATTATCTATTCAGTCATTTAACTTGTAATAACCTTTAATCATTTAGAAATACGACAACACATAGGAAAAACTTTTCACCTGGTGAAACAGCTCCATGTCAATTTCAGCTTCTGACTTCCACGACTTCTCATCTGGAACAGAGAAAGGATGTTTTTAAAGCCTGAATTAAATCTGATAAACCTAAACAGGTCTGAAAGGTAGATTTTTTATTTTATTTTCTCACCTATTACATTTTCTTGAAATATGATTTTAGTGTCTTTCAAAAAGTTTTTGCCAATGATAAAAACTTCTTCTCCGCCCCTCACCGAACCAGTGTGCAGGGACTTCTTCAATATCTCTGGCAGCCCTGCAGGCTGAGCTGGAAACAGAAGGATACAGACAACACTGATGAGCTGCATTGATTTTAGTTTTTTTAATGCACTCTCACCTCTAACACAGTGAGGAGAAAACTGTGGGGGAGGAATTGCCAATCAATTTTACTTTTAAACCAGTTCTAAGCTCTTGAAAATGGGGGGGATTTGTGTCAATTCTGATTGATATTATTTAGATTTTATTTTTGTGAATCAGAAATAGGCAAGATCTGATTCCATGCTAGTTTTAAAACTCTTAAACCTTGAATTGAATGATTGCCTCAAAACATACGGTGGATTCAAAGCAATATTAGTGTCGGCGAGAACTTAGATTGCTTTAGTTTGTGCTGTTATTCATTTAATCAATCTGTGTATAAAGCACAAAGTAATAAAAGGATCTTCAAAAAGGTGAACGATTTTGGGGTCAGTAGCCTTCTGAATCTATAGGTTTCACTATTTACACTGCACAAAAATAAAGGGACACTTTTAATCCCAGGATAAAAAGCAAGTCATTTACTATTCAGGAACTGGAAGGAATTATAAATCAAATCTGCTCCGCCATCATAATGCAACCAAATGTTTGATACGACTTGGATGGCAGGAAAAAACACATCAAAAAAGGAAAAAAGCTTGATCTAAACTTTTATGCTTTTAATTAAGATGCAAATTATTTTACAACTTGCAATGTATTTGTATTTATTTTAAATATCATTGACCAGAATAAAGAAATGTATTACTTAAAGTGATCATTTGTTGCCAAGAGGACCCCTCTCTAACACTTCCCACTCCTGTGCTCAGTCAACATGTGCGCACACACATGTACAAAGACATACAATCAAAAACCAGGGGGAATTACTATTTTTTTTCTTGTTTTGAGGAAAGACATTTCCCTGGTTTGCATGCAAGCTCTACCATAAACAAAAGACTTCCACACCTCTATTGTTTAGTTCTGTACCTCTTTTTCTTCTCTGCTACCCTCAAAGCAGTTGTCTCAAACCCACACATGGCTCTAGGCGTCTTTCCTGTTTGTGAAAACCGACCACGCCCTCACGTTGGAGACATTATCATAGCATTCAATCTAGTGGGATAGTTGTACAGTGTCCCCAAACGCTAACATTAAAGAGAAAAGTCTGTTGACCTCTGGTTTTATGAAATTTGACAAACAGGGGGAAAAAATATGGTAATTATTAACTAAGTGGGTTTTAGGTCAATCTATCCTTTTTCTCTAGTTAAATTCCTGTAAGGCTCAACTGATTGGTTTAGTAATGCAGCAATTACTCAATAACCCAATAATTTACACATTTTCCAATAATATTGTATTTGATTGAGCTTATAACTCAGTGTTTAGACGTGGACAAAGATGAAGGCCAACTTACTGCAAAGGATTGGAGAGGAGGGAGTCTGCAGAGTGAGCACTGATCCATCTGAGCGGGGTACGTTGACCCGAAACACCAAGCGAGCACGTGTGCTTTTCTTCTTTGACCCGGCGACGCCGATACGAGCTTCGACATCTGCATTACGGAGCTTTAAGATCCCAACACAGTCCACCCTAAACACAAGGAATAAATGACTTTAGGCTCGCTTGAACTTGTTTCAACTTCCAATGTCAACAGTATTTAGAGAATCTATTTAACGATCAGACTTTGTAGGACTTAATACCAAGGACATAATTGAAGTACTTTTTCATCTGATAGCTCACATATACCAATAATGGAATAAATGTATTACATAACATAACAGAGGTAGAGTAAAAACAGAAAATGAACTTTCTAGTCTAAATACTCTAAAATACAATATTAACAACAACAGCAACACTTAAAACAAATAAATTGCTAAATAACAGCTACATACGCCAGTGTCATGTTTGTGCTTGGGTCAAGGGACACTTCAATCACAGTTGTGCCATCAATATCAACCTCCTTGCATGCAGTGGTGTTGCGACCGGTAACTCTGCAGGCTTGGTAAAATCCATGCGGCTTCACGCGCCCAGCGTCGTTTCCAACAAACACCTGGAGAACCACTGGTTCAGTCACACCCTCCAGCTGTAAACAATAAAAGTGGTATTTCATTAAAATATTTTTTTTTTTTTTTTAAGACACCAAAATATCATCTGCAATCTTCAGTCCTGCAGTCAAGTTGGAAAACAGGACCTGTGACACTGATCATGAACTCCTGCCACAAACTCAGAATGGTATTTAGGTCTTAGCATTGACTTGAGCCTTTTTAATGCACAGATATGCTTTGATGTTAATTATTGTAGCTCTGGTTTAATGGCTAAGCCAGTTGTTCTATCAAAAGGTCAACCTTCTCCTTAGGGCTCAGGTCTTATTTTTATCTTTTTTCTTCCCTGTATTTAGCTCAACCATCTTCATATCAATTTTGCCCCACATGCCTGTTTTCTGTTGAAGAAAGTCAAACCCACAGCATGCTGTTGCCATCACCATGTCTTAATGGGGAGATGCTATTTCCAGGGTAACGAAGAAAATTTTTATTCTAGGCTGAAAAGTTAATTTTGTATCCTTTACAGCATTTTTGTCATTTTACCCTAGATGGCTCATAAAAAAAGACAATGATGGAACTTCAGTTTATTTAAACAATTACTTTTTCACACCTTAGAACTTTAGCTACATAGGGGGAAAGAAAGCAAATGAAGAATATACCTTCAGATTTCGTAAAAGGGTTAGACTCAACACTACAAAGTAACTTCCTGATGAATCTTAATACTAAAGGTAAAGAAAAACAAAAAAGCTGACTAAGTTTTGAAGCTGTTGATCCTCTTTCATGCGAACAAAGTTTTGATTGCAGTTATTAAGCTTGTTGATCTACAATGCGTAGGTATTGCTTATAAGAATGAGTTTGAGTTCCGCTTTTCAGATTAAAAATGTCTCTTGGAGAAAGAGAAAGCTTTTTAACAAAAATGCACCCTTCCAGAACACTTCCGTAACTTTTCTTGACTAGAAAACCAAGCATCCTTTCCTTCCAGTTGAAAACTATTGACTTTGTTGCTTTATCTTTAACTTCGCCATAAACACTTTGAACTTTACAGTTTTATTAAAATGACTAAACAGAGGACAGAACAAGGGTACATAAACCATTTTGCAAGGCAAAGTAAGAGACCTTAAAGTCACCTGGCCTTGTAAAAAAGCTAAATATATCAGCCTATTAAAATCCTTATTCTGTCTTTTATCTGCTGCCTATAAATGTCTAGTTTAAAATGGACATAATGCTTTACAGAACAATAAAACCAGAAAAAAACCCACCAGAGGGATTCAGCTTCCACGTCTGCTGAGGAGATGGCAGGATCACTAACCTGAATAAAATAACCGAAAAAAGTCTAAATTTCCTACTTCAACCTATTTTAAGTCTACTCCTGGATATTCGCATGAAAATTGACTCTCATTTTGTTTTTATTATTTTGACCTGGAGTTTTACACCTGGACTTGGTAGATGTTTTTGAAGTTTCACTAGGCAGAGTGCCTTATCAGATATAGTCATTTTAGATTAAATGGGAGAATGTTCTGCCTCCATCACTGTCTCTAATCTAGCATTTTGCAGACTCCCCTTACACTACACCCACTAACTTGATGTGATTAGCTGATATCTACAACAGTTCTGTTTTTCACTTGTGCTGACCCTGACTAGCCACAGCGGTTTACTCTTTCCTGTTAATCCCTTAATGCTAAGGATATGAAGAAAAATGCACAACCCAGGTTATGTTGAAATTAATTTCTGTAATAAGGCCCATTTTCTTAAATAATTTTTTCACAGAAAACAAAGACCTAGAAGCTGATAAGTAAATAGGCTTGTTGCTGCAAAATAATCCACCCTCGAATATCATTACAAAGATGATGAATTTGTTACCTTTATAGTGGGAAAGCCTTGCTGGGTGCGGTCCTTTACTGAGCCTCTGCTGCCTTCGGTTAGGTAGCGGGCCCGGTGCTGAGTCTCAGGCTGGACAAGGATTTTAAGCTCCTTCCCCTCACACTTGGATGGGAACTGCATTGTCAAGGTTGATCCCTTTTGATTAGTTGTCTGAGGATCATCAGAGCTGCAACATAACATTTTGTTAGAACAGTCAACCTCTTGCTCTAAAGTTCACTTTCTTCTGTCTAAGGTATAATATCCCAGGCAGTTCAAGTACCTTTTTTAAACAAAATAAAAAATGAATTTGTCTCTTCTTTAAAATCAACATCCATGTATGTATGTAGACATACATACATATCTGTCAGGAGTAGTAGTCTCCTTCCTACATAGAAACGCTTTCAAGTTGCCATGGCGCTCTGAGCAATGCAGATTTAAGAGGCCCTCCATCAGCCAAGCATATTCTAACCTTGGCTCTTAAAATGTTCGGTTATCTGTTTATTTAATCTGCTCTGCTTATCCTAGGTCTTTTAGAGAGGCTTTGTGATTCACTGTGGAAGACCATTGTTTCTACTTTAGTATCCTGCCCCTCCCTCCTCACTGATCTGACTGCTATCCTTAAGTCAGTGTTGTAGAAATGTGGAGCCAAATAAGTTTATTGAAGCTTTCCATCCATTGCTCAGTGTCAGTATATAATTTCCTGGTAGCACCTGCAGTCACAGCTCTTATAAGTGTTGGATAAGAAACACTAGAGAGGCAGATAAAAGATGATGTATGAATAAACAGGAATCATTATTCGAAGAAAGGCCAGACAAAAATATACATGTTACGTTCAGAAAGTTGAATCTATTGTACCAAAATTATAGATGACAGACCAGCACAGATAAGACTTTTAGGGAATCCTTTTTTTAATATATGAAAATTAAATCTGAAGACATCCATTTCTACTTATCATAGTAGACACAGCTGCAAATAACACAGAACTTTGGTCCAGTCTTTGTTGCATCCTTTGCATCAAAGTCTTGATTTCTTACAATGACCTATAGGATCCGACCTTATGTTTGGTTATATGTTTGGCTCATGGCCCAACTGGAAGCCAATCCTCGAGCTCATTTTTAAAATCAACTGACTTCATTTGAATACTGTATTACTCAAGACAATTCTGCTATCAACTATGACCAGATTTTCTGTCCACGCCTGCTTCTCTGTGAGAGATTGTAGTTCAGGATGGAATTTTTAATCACATTTCCACCCAAAAAATCTCTTCTGACCAGAGCCTCCTCTTTCACTTTTTATTGTCCTCTACATAGTTCCTGGCTTGTAGTACTTCTTATTTTGGCTTCCTTTCAGTCTTAAATGCAATAAATTCTGGATATCACAAATAGTAAATTGACAGTCCTCCTACTAAGCTGGGATGGTTGTTTACTGCTGTTTTGCAACAGATCTGTGAGGCCTTCACAGGAATGCTATATCTACATCTAGAGGTGGACTTCAGATGCGAATTGTACTGATATTACTCCATGCTTTCGGAGCAAAGGATGCTCACTACATGTGTATGCCTAACTTATAATTATTATTTGTCAAATCGTTTGTAGCATTTTTCTAGTTTACCTTAATTAATTTGTGTCTTACAGCTAAATAAACAAATGTTTGTAGATCCAACATAAGAAAACTTAAAAGAAATTGTATGCATCCCTTTAGAAGAGACCAAGTGACAGAGTCCTGACTTATTGAGGAGGCTTGTTGTGGTTTTTCTCATTACAACTCTTCAGATCAATGCCTGCGTTAATGAACTACTAACCTTCCTTTAGCTGACGTCTTGCTCTCTGGGCCGAGCTGAGACAGGACAAAGTGTGGGGCTTTGGCGCTGTCTGCATTGAAGACATCCATGCTGGCTTCTACTGTGCGCAGAGCCTTAGGTCCCGGCTTCTGTCGAGGCGTACGCTTGCGGGCCTTTCGTGGCACCTCGGTGTTGTCGTTGTAAGAAGAAGTGCTCATGACGCTGAAGTTTGACATGGAGTCCTCCATCCAGATGCTGTTACTCTGCTCAGAGTCCAAGGGTGCTGCGTCACCCTGGCAGGACATGTGGCTATCATCAAACAGGTCTTGTGGAGGAGGGGAGATGTTGAGGATGTTGCGCTTGGACGGTGTCAGTAGATGGTGTGCCTGGCCATCCTGTGAAGCTGCACCTCGTCCTCCGGACAGCTCCCCGTTGCTGCTTTTCCCACTACCACACTCGGCTCCAATGATCTCTGGTACCACTCGGCTGCTCCTGCTGTCCTCAGAATCGACATTTCTGCTGTGAGCCGAGTTCGGGTCACTGGTTGAAGTGCTGGAATGCATGGTGGTGCTGGAGATGGTGGAAAAAGCACTGCGAGGGCCTTTCGTGGTCAGAGAAGAGGACAAGGCATCTATGGTGTAAATAATTAGACAGTTAGTACAGACCGAACTATTGTGAGGTTCCAGTTCCATGTAAACAGTAAAAGTCGATGCTTTTTTAAATGTTTTTTTTTTCTAAATGTAACGCTCCCCATTTTTTGTATGGTGTTGATAATGTAATATGTGTGAATTTTGTTGAAAACACTGTATGATGCTTAAATATTAGAGGATAAAATGTATGTTTAATTAATTTTAGCATTTTGTTCTGACTCAAAAATATGTGGCATGTTACTTAATGGAGCTTTTTTTTTTTTTTTTTTCTTTCTTCTTTTGTTTTTGGCAAGCATATTTTTTTCTTTTTTTTGTTTGTAGAAGCCACAGAGACAAAACAAAACAAGCTTCTGACCTACGAAGCAGAGAACTGCAGACCATTTTAAATGCAGACACTCCCTGCTTCAGAGGGAACTTCCTGGAATATAAAGGTGAGACAGCAAATGAGCAATAAAAGCTGAACAACAAAGATTGATTCAAATATAACGAGAGAATATATATATATATCACAGTATGATGCAAAAGTATTCCCCTCCCCCAATTGGGAATCCAAAATTCAAACGTTTCTCTGAACATGCTGACAAAGGCTTCATTTTTAGATAATGAGTGGAGCACAGAAGGGTTAAGCAGCTGCTGAAAATCTGGATTTTCTGGTGTTTCATAAGTTTGTAGAACACAGAAAGGGGGGAAAAAATAAACAAAGAGGTAAAGTCAGTCTGAGAAAGGGTGAAAGCTAGTAACAATGAATAATTCAAACTCAGAAACGTAAAACATTAAGAACTCTGTTCATGAGACCAACACATTGAACAATGCAAAACTTATAATTGCAAAAAAGATCTTTATATCTGTTTCATCTTCATGCATTACAAGCAGAAAGAGGCAAAGTAAAGGAGATATTCATAAGATAATTGCAAATACTCAATTTTGATGACAAAAAAACTAAAACATTCGCAGTTAAAAAAAGGGCCTTAAAATTCAGTGAATGCATTTATCTGAATTTATTAATATTATTTTTTTTTTTTACAATTTTCAGATAACATTGAACTGTCAGGGGACACTGCAATATACCAAATGCCAAAAAGAAAACTGACACTACATTGCATGCTTTTCCGATTCCACTTAATTTCGCTTCGTGCTTTTAAACTGAATGGTCGTACTTCTATTTGATCCTCACATATCCATCAACCTGAGAATGCACAAAAACAAAGTCTCTTTCCCTTCTCCACCCACCAAAACTGCAAACATGATTATGATTATTTAATTAAAGCGAAGTCTTTTGTTGTCATGCCAAGCAGTGGAAAAGCTAATTAACCCCAGGGCCTTGTTTCTGGACTTCTATATTTACCCACTAATAAGATTTTCTTCTCTAAGACAACAGTTCCACCTTCAGCAAAGCTAATTCAGCAAAAACATCTTTCTGAGCTTCCCACTTTCTTTTTTTTAAGTCCATAATGTTTAACCACACCCTAATATAGTCTATGATTCAGTGATAATAATGAGAATAATTAGGTCTGAATATGGCGCACATTAGATCTGTTTGTGCTGCAGGATACAACGACAAACTAAAATGACATCCAAACAGGCAGGTACAGGCAAGCAGGCATGTTCAGTGACATTAACTTCCTTCTCTAGCCCTGTTTTTTTTTTATCCCTTCACATGTAGAAAATCAAAAAGAAGCAGGCTGCTTGTTTGACAGGCTTTCGTCATACATGCAGGTGTTTGCTTACAGGTACAGACTGCTAAATGAGTAATGCCTTTTCTGGGTGGGGCAAGATCAATCCTGCTTGGAGATGAGAAATAAGGAAAGAGAAAGCAGGATCCTACCTGATGCTAGAGGAGCTGAAGGGAGAGGGCCTGCCTCTCCGCCGCTCTTTTGACTCATGACTTCTGGGTGCTGCTGAGTGGTGGGAGGCAACTGCAGCTCACCGGCAAGAAGGTCATACACTGACTCTGTTGTGAGAGTAAGGGGACCAATAAAAGGAATAAAAATATGACTTACTAACAGGACTTATTAGTGGAATGGTGAGTGAAGAGTCAAGATCCCATTGGGTGAGCCAGATGACTAACAGGAAACATCAAGACCACATGAGGGTTTAGAGTAAATCTCAAATTTATCCGTCAGATTTCTGTTCTATATATATATATATATATATATATATACACACATATATACATATAAATGTTTAGCCTATTATGAATAATCTGATAATGACACAACCGTAACCGTTTATCCTCACAAATATTCAATTGTAAGAACACACCCATGACCTGGTTGGCAATACATCTGATAGAAAAAAAACAAGGAAATAGAGGCCATAATAGCTGTCAGAATACTTTCTCATCAGTTCAGATGTCAAAGTGCTTCCACTTTTGTATTGTTTCCAAACTCTGTAACAATCAGTATACATACGCAACACTACATCACAGTCTATCACTCATGCAGCTTTATGAAAAAAAAACAGAAAATAGGTTTAAAAATAAACAGATAAAAAAATAAACAAGTGAAATAAAGGCTAAATGCGGCATTAGATATTTCTTTAGATTATGATTCACTGTGATAAATAGATTTCTTCCAAAAAAGGGCATCAAATCTAGCAGAGAAGAGCTAGAGATATAATCTCTTCTTCCACCCATTCCTGTTGCATGTCAAAGCATGACATCTACATTACCAACACTACAGTCATCCAACATGCATGTCAAAGCCTGATACCTGCAATGCCTCCACGCAACAAACCACCAACAGTGCATTAAGAGATGGGTGTGTTAGACATCTACAGGCTGACATTGTCTTAAGTTGCAGGCCTTGGAGGTGACAGGAGGGCTACAAAAGGCTGGCTAGCTCCTTTTTCTCCTTACGACACAGACACACCCTTGGATTTTTCTTTTTTTTAAATTGTTTCAAACTTAAAGACCTAAGATTACATCACTTGAGCAAAATACACATGTTGTTTTCTGTATGTTCCTTAGGATTACATATATTATGAAAAGCAGTGGATTTTCAAGGGAGCGTTTATAAATCTTGCAAAAAAATATGCAAGATAACCGAAATTATCTTTATTTATCATTTTTGCCCCTTATGACAATAAACAGAGATATTGAATGGGTGATTTAAAGACTGCAAACAACAACAAAAAAAAAAAAACATTTTGTCAAAACAAACTGACAGATTAGAAAATCCCACTTAAAACAGTAACTCTGACATTTTTCATTCAAACTAAAGATGGAACCAATCTGTTTTAATCTCAGACATCAAGCTAAGAACATTCTGAGGAAACATTCTGAGGCTAAAGGTCTTACTCAGAGATCCAGAGCAGCAGTCTGTGGGATTCTTGCAGCTTTCTCAGGACACAAATGCCCTGCTCTAACCACTAGGCCAATTGCCCCCCGGCAACATGAAATATTACCATCAGCAAATATGTTAATTAATCTCAGGAGAGCATGCTGATGTGTGTGCTGTATTGTATGAAGATGACGTTTTATTAAAAGTCCCCCTCGTCTTAAACAGGAGACCGGTAATTCCTGTCCCGGTATCCTGATGTGGAATAATACAAGCTAAAAGGAGGTCAGACCAAAAGTTGTGGTATATCAAACAAAAATAAAATCGCATTACAAAACAGACAACAGGGTTTACACAAAGTCATTTCTTTCTCTTCCCCGTGTCTGCCTCGGGGAAATAGGGGAGGGGGGGGGGGTTTGGGTGCTTAGGTCAACAGCATGACAGCACTTTTACTAGCAGACTGATTCATCATCCAAATATTATGGTATGAACTTAGAGCAGCCATTACAGTCGCCTGACTCTTTTCTTTGCCAACTGCCAGCTTTAATTACTTGCAGCTGAGACCCGGGGTTCGGTGTGTATATCAGATACTTAACCCTCCCATTGTTACTACTCGCTGTGTACAACACACAAACCTGGAACCTACCAGCACCAATCCATGCCTCCTCAATGCCAAACTCCTCTGGTGTAAGAAAAGTTGCTTTTAAAGAAGCAGGAGGACCTCGTTTCCATAAACAAGCTCCCCTAAACTGCGTATGATCACGCACACACAGAGGATTTCACTATGCTGGTTGTGTGCTACGTTCACAAAACAAATATCTCACATATGCATGCACAGCGCACACATACACACAAAAAAACACCCCCGCCACGCCCACAAAAAACCCTCTACCTCTAAATCCACCATTTAAAAGTAGTCTTCTTGTGGCTCTCAGAGGCTGCACATGCAGCAACATGTGCTCCGAACTGAAAAAGTCCTTACAGTAAACAGATTGCCGACCGCACAGACAGAAAATATGCACTCTCTTCTAAGGGCAGTAGTTTGGAATCACTAGCTGGCCTGTTCCTCTGTGTTTCCACAGCTTCTATGACGCTTTTAGAGGCCGAAAAAACAAAAACTCTCATTTTGCTCCATGTTTGTCTCCTCTTAAGCAGACAGAGTGCAAGACTTTATTTACCAGTTGCAAACATAGCCCTTTTCAGAGAGAAGCAAATAAATACAAAAATAAAGAAAACAGCACCCTGTCAGCTGGAAAACGAACGACACCGACTCATGCTCACAAGCTGAAGTTTTGATTTCTTTTTGTCACAAAATGGTTATGTTTCGAAGGCTGGCCACATATATCAGCTTTAATTTTCCCTTCATCTGCAGAAATCATAACAACAACCCATTATTAAACCTGATACCATGTGGTTAGCTCTGACCAGGCCTGCTAATACCATTAGAATAACCTCATTTAAATAGCTTAACTGAGCTAAGTCAGTTTCCTCTCACTCAAAGTTTAAAGACAAATAACCACTGATAAAAATCCAGGCTTCATGATACAAACTTGCACTATGGGGTACAGTTTTGCTGATCGTATCTTAGTATCTTTTAATGTTTACATGTTAAGTGATGGAGGCTAAAGATAAAAAGACGAAAGGCACTCACCATGTGAATGGCATGACTTTAACACCCATTCATTTCCCCTCATTCCTGATGCTTGCGCTTACTAGCCCTGGCACCTGGGGCGTGGCGAAACTTTTTTGGCTGCTGAATGACCGATTTAACTCCTTTCTGTGCCCCCCCCTCTACTCCACCCACCTCTCTCCCTGTCTTGTTTATTGTGAACCAGACCCTTCTCTGCCCTGCATCTTGCTCAACAGGTTAGCGGCATTGTCATGCGGAATCCTGTCAGACAGAAACAAAACAGTAGTACAACCTAGCCGCAGTAAGTCTGTTACACAAGGTAGACTGTCTGAATTTAGCAAAAACACTTAAGAGGACGTGATTAGGAGGGCAAGCTTAATCTCACCTCGTCGGTGCATTTGGAGATTATTTTGAGCTCTGTGAGGAAAAGTAGCAGAGGGTGTTGGCACCTGCAGCAAACCTTGTACAACAACCATGTAATGTTTACAGCCAAGCCTACACAAGTGCTGCCTGGGACTCCATAGTAACCCTGGTCTTTTGAGCCTCAGTGTCTCCTGTGAGCTAACACTATGAAACTAAATAGGGACATAATCTTATCATCCATACCTAAATAATGACCTCTGCATTAAAAACATGCAGTATTTTCACATCACAACTAAAGAATGTCTGTTATTTTAATAACAGCTTCCACCAGATTATTAAATTAACATAAGGACTTCTGGTTTAGTAAAGACAACCCTAAACCAAAACCTTTAAGAAACTTTGTGATGTTAAGCATCTCGGGCTTAATACGAATAAAAAAAAAAAAAAAAAAAAAAAGCTGAATGCAATTACGAATGATTAAATATATTTCATGCATTATAAGACTGCAATTTGACAACTCATCAAAGCAGCCTTCAACTGAGGGAAGTCAAGCTGCATGTGATCTTGTGATTTATGAGGTTAAGCTTCATTTTTGTTTTTCTTTTATTTTGAACCTATATATAAGTTAAAACAATCTTAAATTTTTTTAGTGCAAAACTTTGGCAAGTAAAATTCCCTTTTCAAATTTAAGCATAAAAAGGCCAGTATTGGACAATATTAACAACACAAAGGACTATTTAAATTAGCAGTTAACACGCTGGAAAAATATTCTAGGACTCCATGAAATTCTTTTCTGTTTTTAAATGCTGTGCTTTCCCCCCTGAAAATATGTATTTCCAAATTAATTTGCATAAAGCTAAATAAAAAAAATGAATAAAAATAAAGAAAAGAAAAAGTAACCCATTCCATTATATATTAAAATCAACAATTTCAACAATAATTTACCTGCACTTGAAAGCTAAAAGTAATATGGATACATTCACAATATCAAAGAAAGTAAACTTTGTAATAGCATAATAACAGCATGTTCATAGTACGAGTGTTGACCTAAATTACGTTTACAACCAGCGCTTGCAAATGTTGTTTAGGCTAAAATAGTTGCAGATGTCTATTTGCAACTATACACGTGGTGGATAAGACTGAAAACAAACAGGGGCATGGGAAATGAATGTGCACAGATAAGGCCAACAATATTAGTCTTTAAACATGTGATGCTTTTCTTACCTGCAAAGCAACTTTTGCAATGCTGATGTTAACAGCCTGAATCAGACAGAATGTCTCAAGAATGTCGCATGACAAGGCCCAGATTGGTTACTCTACAGCCAGCTGCACCACAGCAGTTATGAAAAAAAAAGGTCACATCATCGCATTGAAGCAGTTCGTACTTGCAGAAGGTTCAAAGTAATGCTGCAAGAAAAATTTTGTTTTTTTTTCCAATAAACCTGGCAGAAATAATTGCACCACATGTAGATTTTCATAGTAGTTGCAGCGGCACATGCATTTGATTTAAACTGGTTTAAAATAAAAGCAAGGACCCCAAAAAAGATGCAACCGAGAACACTTGGTTATCAATGTTGTTTAAAGGTGTTTGGTCATGACTGCGGGTGACCTATTCAATCATTACACTCCATTATTTTCTGAGGGGAACACTACTGTAAAATGGGAGAAATTTAAAGAAAC